AATTATACCTGAGAACAACAACAAAAAAGTCTAAGTTGTACCATTTATTATTATTTTCTATAGAATATACAGGATGTTGAAATTTGACATCCTAGTCTTATGACAAAGAATATAATGAGAACAATAAATAAAAAACAGTATGACATAAATTTTCTTGTGATGATGATTATAACTTAGAACAGGACATACTTAAGACATACACATTATTATCAGAAGAAACAGATACTTTGTTGGTGTTTATCTTTCCTTTTTGCATAAAGGAGCTATTTAAACCACAGAGAATAAAAATAAACCATATATATTCAGAAGGTTTGAATAAATGAGCACTTTCTAAAATAGATGTCCTGGTATAGGATTAATATTGGTTCGAGTTGCACTAGAATAATTTAAAAATAGTAATTTTAAGGTGAATCATTTGCTTAAAGTAGGTGAATTCTTGTCATTGAGGACACTGGTGTGTGTGTGATAGCAAAGTAATACAGTTTTACATATAGAAACCATGAATGAAAAAAAAAATTGCATTTCACATTAGACCACAGGAACCTAAGCTTATTTAATACTTGACTTCATTGAAACCTGTTACATAGTCGTGAAGATCTAAATAAACTAAAGAAAACAATATATATACCCTCTAACAGAGTTAAAAATAAAACTTCAATGACTCAATTTACTAATAGATATCTTTTTTGTTTACTATAGGTGTTCACTGTTTAGCAATGACATAGAAAATAATTAACATATACAGGGTGTTAGGAAGGAAAACAGAAGGTTGAAAAGGAGATTGTGTTTGTGGCACTTTCTTTTATAGTGAATTTGTCATGGATTGCTGTAATTGTAAGTGGTCTTCTTGAGAGTTTATCTGAGCTACTTCCTTTAAGAAGGAAAGGATTGTGTCCTCCTGTCACCATACCTTTTGGCAAGTCTTTGGAGATGCAGCACTGCCATTGACACAACATTTTGATTTCTTGTCAAAATATCTTTTAACATCTGGCTCAAAAGATAGTTTTGATGACTATAAGCATGCCCAACTCCTCTGTTCATTAAGGCTGAAAATTCAATAAATATTTGGTACACTGGGACTAAGCTACCTCATAGTGAGCAGATGTCAAATGTTTTTCTGAATACTCCTTCTCAACTCACCACAGTGAATTGATGGAATCCTGCCAGCTTCAGGATATACACAGAGTGAGAGAAACTCTATCAAGCTCTATTCAGATATTCCTGCTAAGTCTTACACCACCACCTGTGCATTTAGAATGACCAATTATGACACAAATGGAAAAAAAACTTTAGAAATCCATGTATCCTTCTTTTCATACTAGCAAAGAACCCGTTATAGGCACTAAATATCCATTAATGATTTTCTTAATAAGGTAGGTGTCTTTTGGATATGCATCTTTTGTCAGATTCTAGCTATTACATTGCCTACACCATCAACACTAGACACAAAAAATGTTCATTTAAGAACCATCTTCTGGAGGTTGGGGTTGTGGCTCAGTGGTAGAGCACTCGCCTAGGATGTGTGAGGCACTGGGTTTAATTCTCAGCACCACATGTAAATAAATAAATAAAAGGGTTGTGTTCACCTACAACTTAAAAAAAACCAATGTTTTTTAAAAAAGAATCTTCTTCTGGAGATATTTCCGATTTGCTGGATATTCATTACAGTTGTGGTATGTTTCAGGCACATTTATATTCTGAATTAAATTATACAGTAGTCAAAAGAGGCAACTTTCCATCCTTCATGTTGTGCCTATATTTTTTTCACTTGAATGTTACCATTTGGGTCTTTTAATAATCTCTCAGATCCGTCATTGTAATGGCATGCTGTAGCAAATTATGAGTATTACAAACAGCAGTAGCTGAGAAAGTAATTCCACATCAGCAAAATATTTTAGTTTGCAATTAAATGTTTTCAGCATAAAATAATAGACGTTTGTTCACAAAATTGTTGAAAGGATCTATCTAACATTTCCCACTTTGTCCCTAGGCTGTAATTAAGCTGACCCTATATATTCTATTAACTTGGTAAAAGTGGAAATTTGAGATTTCAAACACTATTTCATATTGAAATAATGGTCTAATACTTCCCATTGTTCTAATTTGGATATAAAGTGTTCCCTGAGAAGCTCATGTTAGGAATGCAGGAATGTTCAGAGGTGAAAGGATTCGATTATGAGAGATGTAATCTGATCAGTGAATTAATCCATGTGATAGATTAATAATTTGAATGAACTAACTGGATGAAAACTATAAGCAGGAGGGGTATGGCTGGGGGTGGGTCCCTGGGGGCATGCCCTTCTAGATTGTGCCTTGTCCTCCTGTTGCCTCTCTCTCTGTGTGCATTCTGGTTACAATAGGGTGAGCAACTTTCCTCCACCATGTCCTTCCACCATGATGTTCTGCCTCACTTAGATCCAAGAGATACGGAGTTGGCCATCCATGGGTTGAATCTCTGGCACTGAGCCCCAAATAAATTTGTCCTCCCTAAACTTGTTCTTTTCAGGTATTTTGATCACAGCCATGTGAACCTGACTAATAATGGAATTGGTACTTAGAAGTGGGGTCATTGCTGGGACAAATTTGTCCATGTTGTTCAAACACCTTTGGAACTAGTTTACAGGATTTTTGGAAATGTTTTGAAACACAGCATGGAGAAGCCTTAGAATGTTTTGAGAAGAACTTAATGGGTTTTCCTGGTGTTTGTTCAGAAGGCCAGAATGAAAATAAAGTTGAGGACAATAAAGTTTGTGCTCATGAAGTATCAGAGGGGAAAGGAGGAATCCACTGGGAATTGAAGTAGAGGTCACACATGTTACATTACAGCAAATAATTTGTCTACATGTTGTCCATGTCCTGAGACTTTATTAAGGGGTGAATTTTAAAGTGATGGACTAGTTAATCTGGCAGTGAAAATTTCAAGGCATTCAGATGGTGCGTTTAGGCAGTGGGATGAGCATCTCATAATAAGCCTTTTAACCAGGCTTATTATGAGAATAAGGAGCAGAGAGCTTAGCAAAAACATATAAAAAGGTTGCAGTTTCACCAGAGAAGAACCACTGTAAAATCAGGGCCAGGGAATTTATGTTTACTGAGGTGATTACCCCCACTAAAGAGAAGCTAAATGTTTTTCACAGAAAAAAAATTTTTTTGCGTTCTTTGAATGCATCTCAGAAATCAGTATAACTATACTCATGGCAGGTTCGATGGTGTTAAAATGAAAATGTCACTTGAAAAGAGATCATGGTGATACCTTCCCCCCACAGGGGTACCTAGGAAGTTGTTTCCTTATGATTTGTTTCAATGTGTGACCAGATAGTCAATGGGCACTACCTGGTCCAAGGAGGTCCAGCTAACTGCTTAAGTTTGCAACAGACTTTGGCATGGCACTGGTGCTGGTTCTGCAGGAATGCAGAATTTGGAGTTAAGGCATCGCAAAGACTCCCAACAAGATTTCTAAGGAAGGCCTGGGAGGCCAGCAAAGTGTGACATTATCAGAATCCCTATGGACAGCCTGGAAAGGGCAATGTATGAACGAGACCTCCAGGATTAAGAGATGACAGTAACTTAGAAAATATACCTGGGAAACCTGTAGGAAGGGAGCAGATCCAGACTGAGGGAGGCCACATTGGCTGTAAGCCCAAGCCCTTTGGAGATCACATCTCAAAATCACGTGCCGGAGATTCTGCACGTGGAGCTACAGGACTTGTTTGCCAAGCTGGGATTTGGTCTTGTTTTGGTCCCATCCCTACTTTATATCTCTGTTTGCCTCACTTTTTGTGATGCAAATGATTACTCTATGTCTCTGTATATTGGATACTTGTAATTTGCTTTGATTTTTACAGGGGCTTACAGCTAAGATTTTGCTTTGAGTCTCAGAGGAAACACTGAACTTGAATTTTTGGGCAGTGTTGGAACTGGGGAGACCAAGGTGATTCTTGGAGATGGACTAAATGTATCTTTTCATTATGAAGTGGGCATGAGTTTTAGGGGGCCATGGGTGGAATGTTATAGTTTAGATATGTGATAGACAATGCAGAAATGTTCAGTGATGAAATATTTATATTTTAAGAGCTATAACCGCATCAGTGGATTAATTCATTTGATAATTTGAATAAATTACTGGGTTAAAATTATAGGCAAGTGGGGCATGGATGGAGGAAGTATGTCACTGAGGGTGTGCCCTTCAGGATTCTTTTGTTCCTGACTCCTTGCTCTCTCTCTCTCTCTCTCTCCCTAACTCCTTCCAGACTACCATGAACTGAGCAGCTTCAGTTCACCACATCCTTCCACCATGATGTTTTCTCTCATCTCAGACTCACAGCAATAGAATCAGCCAACAAGAACTGAACCTCTGAAACCACGAGCCCAAAATAAACTTTTCCACTTATAAGTTGTTCCTGTCAGGAATTTTTATCACACCAATGAAAAACTAACACACTCATCTTTCCCTTTCTTTCTTAATCCTTGCTAGTTCAGCTTGCTTCTGCCTCTAACAGTAAAATGTTGGCTATGATACTCTGACCTTAGTCTCATCTTCTCTTATTATTTTGTACATTTTTCTTTATTATCTGGACCCTTAGCCTGCCTTTATGGATCTTAACTTAATGTATTCATCAAGCTTCAAATAATACTCCTAATCTTAGGTGTATAAGTATTCCCCACCCTAGACATGGGCTAACAAGGCCCAGGTGCTCTCTCCACAGCCACCCTGCAGCAACAGTTGTTAGTAAACAGTGACATGGATTCATCTAAGTCATTTAGAAAACACTGTTTCAATTGCTTTAAAAAATAGGAAAAAAAATCCAAGGTTGAGGCTCCCAGACAGACATTTTAAAAAATGTACAATGTTTTAAACTTTGAAATCTTTATTAAGCATCCAGTTTTGTAAGGCACACTAGTGTGAAACAGATTTTGGAGGGTAAAGATTTTCAAATATCAACATGTAATCAAGTGAATTAAAGCTATTTCCCAAAACTCTGACTTTCTTCTTTCCATTTTTATTATCACTTGAGCTCTTTGTTTAAAGATGCAGGAAAAGGCATTCTTCCAGAATGCAAATGAGCAAAATAAGGTGACAGCGGAGGACCAAATACTGGGGGAGGCGCAAAAGCAATAGGCTTAATGAAAAATGGATTGAAACTTGGAGGTGGGGCAGGTATGAAGCAATGAGCAGTAGAGCAAGGTAAACCTGGAACACTTGAAGACATAGGCATAGGCCCTGGGTGTCTTGGGCTCGCAGGTGGGAAAGAAACATGAGCCAACCTTCCATTATTGCAGGCCATTCTAGTATTACCCAATGGTACCTCCATCATTATCCCTGATCTAAGGGTGGGGACAAATGAAGGACCTCTTACTTGTGGTCCCCTAAGTGGAAAGAACCCTTGGCTCCGTGGCAAAGTTGGGACTGATTTTGCAGTATTGCCACCTCTCTCACTAGTCACACTGCTGACCCTTGTGCCCCCTACCATCAGTGCTGGAGAGCTGCCAGAGACTTTCTGGGATACATTAATAGAATCATGTCCCTTCAGCCTCCAGCTTGCCAACCCCTCAGAGCTATTTACTCCCTCTGTTGCTAGGGACTCTTCTACAACAGCAGGTGGTAACCCACAGGGTTGTCTGACAGCTCTTGAAAGATCAGGAATGCTGGATCCTGTTCTCTCATCAGGGCCCTTCAGCTGGTCTCCGGCCAGATCAGTCAGCATATTCAAGGGTGGTCGTAGTGGGATGCGAGGGCAGCCCCAGTTCTCAGCACCATCCTCATCATTCTTCTGCATGGAATTCAGACACTGGAGGGGGTCATCAGGACTCAGATCCTTGTTCCCATTTTTGTTGACAGCTACCACTGCAACAGAAGGGCCATACCCTCCAAAGCTTGCAAAAACAAAAATTAAAAGAAAAAAAAAAGAAAGTTAATCTAAGGAGCTGGGGTTATGGCTCATCGGTAAAGCAGTTGCCTAGCACATGTGAGGCACTGGGTTCAATCCTCAGAACCACATAAAAATAAATAAATAAATAAAGTTATTTTTTTTAAAAAGTTAATATAAATGCTCATGCAGTGACCATAGAATATCTGAAATATGCTATTGGCTCAACTGCTGGAATACACCAGTGAAAAAGGGAATACCCTATAAACTGCAATATATAGTGAGTCAAATACTTTTTTAGCCCATTGACCTTTTCCAAGGACACCCCTTTAGCACTGGGCTATATTGTTGGCCTTTATGGATGCCTTGTGGGTATGCTCCAATCCTCCACTTCCTCAAGGCAGATAGATGACTCAGATTGCTTCTTAGCGAGCATATGACAGAAAATACCAGCTCTTTTGATTCTTTACAGGATCTATGACACAATATGAATGGCGTTCAGATTCTGGCAAGAATGCCCTAGAAAATCTTCTTAGGGAAAACACTTTTTATTTTCTCCACAGAAATCAAAGAAGCTTAGGTATGCCAACAAACATACCTTATGAAGCATCAAATAGTCATTACAATTTTGGTTAAATTATCCCTAATTTAACCCACACCACATCCTAGAGCAAGAATTTCCTCATGTTCAAGTTCCACTATTTAGATCAAGAATATGTTACTTCTGTTGCAAAATTACATTTAGAAAAATTTATAAAATCTCTACTCTTAAATTCAGTACTCTTAGTACCTAAATTTATATCCTTTAAGGCTTTTCCTGTGATCCCATCCCACCTCCCTTTCAACCCTCAAGTCCTTTCCCTAGTTACAACAGTAAACCAATTCAAATTGCCTTTTACATCCAAAATAAAAAGAGTTGTACTTTGTTTTGTACTTACACATTTTCAGTACAAGCCATGGAGAAATATGGTCAGTATTTACTCATGAGGCAATATAGAAAACCAGCTGAACACCCACACAGGCCAAGTGTGTCTGGAGAAAGAAACCGTCCTTCTGACTTAGAGAGGCTTGGCAACTCAAATGAAGCCAGGAACCAACTGCTTAGAAGACTTATAATTCTATTACTGGGGTAACCAGTTGCTAGGCAAGGGAGGGACAAAATGAGCAGGGAGGAGGGAGGGAATAAATCTGAGACAGTCCTTTAAAGCTAAATGTGGGACTGCTTTTTGCATAGTAGTAAATGGACAGGAAACACATTTTCAAGAGTTGAAAGATACCAACTCTCATATAGACCAGTTTAAAATACAAAGCATTTCAATAATTTACAAAAATCATGGTGGTATAATTTGTTAAAAGTTATTTCTGAGGATTTAGTTATAAAGGGTAATTATCAAGCCTCCTCAACAAATTTGGCAACACAATCTTCGAGCGGCATACTATGCCTAATCTTGTAATTTAAACTTCCAGTTTGGTTTATGTATAATATTAATGCAGTGGGGAATAGAGGTTCTGGAGGTCAAACTCTTTTGTAATATATGACGATAAAAATTTTTTTAAAAAACTATAAAAATCCCCTCTAAGAATTTTCTAACACTTATTTTTTGTTCAGTATATTTGCAGTCTTTCCTTCATCCTGTCTTCTAGTTTATCAGCTGTGGGTGTATCTGTATATGTGTCTGTGTGTACATAAATATGTGTATTTTCTGTATCATAGTTCTGGAAATGTCCTCCGGGGGGGAAAGAAGAACAAAAGGCATAACACATATCATAGATTTGTGTATATTGGCTCATATTTTGCCTTATAACTTTTTTACATAAGGTACATTCTGTTTGTTCAACCTAAATGTACTCCACCTTTTCCACTTGAAGCAAATATACTTCTCCAGCTTTTATTTTCCCCCATTGATCTACAGATTAATTGCTATGAAATTACAATGGCCATTCCCTCATCGAAGACTGCTAATGTTATTGTGGAACAAAGCCATAAACGTACCCCATTTCCTTAAATGTATCTAAGATCTGCGCTGTGCACATTTCTCTTGAAGACTATCTTTCTTTTTTCTTAATAACAATATATACCACTATAGTTCAACAGTGATGTACACTTCTTTTTCTTTTAAGGAAAAATAACAGACTGAAATACCATGTGTTTCAGTTCATAGGTATATGATGTTTGAGAGAGGGAAGTGGTGAGGATAATGCATAAGTATAAGGTACTAGTGCAAAGGAATGGTCACTGCTGTGAAGCAACACAACTCATGATGGAAATGACCTTTTGGGTCTCTAAGACCACATCTTCTTTCCAGGGTGCCTTGTCTCTCTATATACACTATTGAATGCTTTTATCTCATTGAAAGTTGAAAGTGGCATGTTTCCAACATGTTTCCCAGTGGAATCTGTTCACTTGCCTGGCATGGTTTGCTTTTAAGAAATCTCTTGATTCCCCGGATTTTGTTTCTATTCTTGCTTCAGTTTATTATGTTCCTGGCCTCACGTGAAAGCAAACTTATTATTAGGACTATTATTGCTTTAGAGTTTTAAAACCCTTTTAGAACTTGCCACATCAGAAGGAAAAATGCAATTCCAGTTAATGCTTGCTAATAGTTGGTAAGTCATATTTATATAAATAGATTATGTATGAGAGGTTGCATTGTTTTGCCTGAGTAATGACAATTAAGCCCCAGGAAACCATTTTATGCCTATCAAACAATTGAAATAATGAGTTTTTTTTTTTTTTAACCTAGAAATGTCTCTGTAGAAATATGTCATCTTAATTGGGTTACATAAGGTGAAGCACAATATAGGGACCAAATGTTTGAGAATAGTAACAAAGCCCATGACACCCAATAAGTTTCTAAAGCCATAGTAGGTATTGGTAATTTATGGATATTATCTCATCTTATTATGTAACTTTTACTTTTGCATATTTATTGAATGCCTATTACATATATTGGCTAGTATGTTAAGTGTAAATCAAATCAAACAAAATATTTATATAATCCATAGTGACTTCAAGGACAATTAATTCTCTAAGGATACAAAGTGCCATCAGAAATATAACAAAATAATGTCATAAAAAGGAATAAACACAGACCATCAGTTGCATGGTATAAGCTAAGAAAACAACAGAAATTGAGAAGATGGAATTAAAATTGTGGGTTAAAATAGCTGCAACCCATTTCATGTGTTTAAAAAGTTACAATTGTGATTTCAAGGATGGATAGGATATACATGAACAGAGGAAGAGATAATATTATATGTCAAAAACAGATAGGAAGGGCTGGGGATGTGGCTCAAGTGGTAGCACGCTTGCCTGGCATGCGTGCGGCCCAGGTTCGATCCTCAGCACCACAGACAAACAAAGATGTTGTGTCCGCCGAAAACTAAAAAAATAAATATTAAAAAATTCTTGCTCTTGCTCTCTCTCCTCTTTAAAAAAAAACAGATAGGAAGACAGGAAAGAAGGGAGATTTTTGGAATTTTGTATTTCAGATTTTTATTCCAAACTAGGGCACATATTTGTCACAAATAGAATTATAACAAGCCAGTAGATACCTCTAGAGATAGAGATCAACCAGTTAGTTAGTAAAGTTTTACCCATTAGGGAGTATTTGAAGGCACTAAAATTTTAAACTTAAAGATGAAACTAGAATCACTTCAAAACATACCTTTTGACAAAGACTGTCAAGTTACTTCAATTAACCCTTGAGCTTTCAAAATAAAGTAATAAAGTTTATACCTTTTTCTTTTGTTTATTTGAATGGGGAGGGGAAAATGGGTAATGGAGGTTGAGTATTTGCCACAAAGTAGCACAGATGTAAAAGCAGCCAAGCTATAAAGGCCTTTTATTACCAGTGACCTGGCCTCTTATTTCATGTCAAAACAGCAGATATTACTCATCTCTTCAAAGATTTTGAGAGCTATATTGAAATATTAAGTGAGGGCCATACAAGGATATGTTTACTTTTCCACATCAATTATGAGGTCATTTAAAATGTGGCTGTTTTTGCCAGAGTCAGGTTATTATTTTTCCAAAGAAATTTTGTAGACGTTTAAGTACAGGCAAAATGTCATTTAAAATGTATTTTCTCTTTTACTCTGTAGAATAATTCAGGAGATAGAGCCATAAGGAAGTTTTTTGTTGTTGTTCTTGTTTTTGTTTGTTTGTTTCCATCAAGCTAATAAGCAGGCGATGAGGAGATTGTCATATTAATCTCTGGGGAGAGTGTTGTCAAAAAATCCTATCCATTAATTCACCCTTAAAACGTAGCCATGCCTTTAGAACACTTTCTAAGTTTAGAATATCTAAAAAGTAGTTCTATTAAAGTAGACCAGGTATTTTTAGGGGTCTGGATATCTAATTCAGTGTATTAAAGCATGGGATTCATGAAAACATGGCATTATCCCAGAATGGGCCAGGCCACATTATTCTGTTGTACAAATATAGGCAGTATTCCTGTCCTCTCTGCTGCCAGCTGTCCCACAAACTCTGTGTGGTAAATGATGAGGATGAACAGGTGAAAGTGTATCTATTTTTTCATCACCAGTACTGGCAAAAGCAGCTGGATATATTTGCATGAAGTTCAATAGACTATTATTGCTTTTATAAAGTGTTTGCTTCAAATTTAAATGCGTGTGTATACATTTATACATATATATGTTTTACATTGGATAACTTACAGCAATTACTGCAAAACAGGTTATTTCATCACACAAATTACAAGCTGTCAGATACCTTTCTTTCAAACTATATTCTAATTTTTCTTGCTCTCCTGAGAGTCAGAAATGGAAAATAAGTAGCAATGAGGTAATCCAGATGAGAAAAAAAGGAATATGGAAAAAGAAACAGATTTTTTTCTACTCACTGTAGAAAAAAACTCACACTTTTGATGCATACTCTATGTAGTGAGCTGTTTTGCCACTGTGACCAAGACTCAACAAGAGCAATTTAGATGAGGACAAGTTTATTTGAGGGTCATGGTTTCAGAAGTCTCAGTAAACAGACAGCTGGATCCTTTGCTTTGGGTCCAAGATAAGGCTGAACATCATGGCAGAAGGGCATCACAGAGGAAAGCAGCTCAGGACATGACAATCAGGAAGTAGAGAGAGTCTTGCTCACCAAGGATAAAATATAAACACCAAAGGCATGCAAGCCCCCAGGGATTCACCTGCTCCAGCCACACCCTACATGACAACAATTACCACCCAGTTAATCTCTGTCAGGAGATTAATTCACTGATTGGGTTAAGGCTCTCATAACCCAATAATTTTGCCTGTATATATTCTTCCATTGTCTCCCATATGAGTTTTGGGAATCACTTCATATCCAAACTATAATACTATCATTTAATAGTCATAGAAATCCATTAAGACAGTTTTTACTATTATGCCCATTTTATAGATGAAGAAAAAGAGAGTTGAAGAAATGAAGTAGTGGTTTTCCATGATCTTACTGCTAGTAAATGGCAGGCAATATTCAGAGACAGCCTATGGATAAGGGCCCATTTTCCTTCCATTTTCCCATGGGATCTCCTAATTATAATTCTAGGTCAATTACATAGGTGACTCAGATCAAAACTTGTGTAACAGAACCTAGTTTACTGTATTTAATTCATAGAATTGTTGTTGGAAGAAATTATCCAAGTTTTAATGCTTATATTCCAGGAAGCCTCTCTATACACGGATCTGGAAAGTAATTAAAGCATTAGGTATTAAGTTGTAATTCAGCAAGATGGTAATGACTGAAAACCCTACAGTGGAGCAACTGGCTTGGTGACAGAGAAGACTAGGCTTTATGGAAGCACCAAGTGAGAAGCACCAAGTGACTGTTCCTGAGGAAATAATAGTAATATAAGCTCAGTATTACTAATATTAAGATTAAATTCCCATTGGATTCTTGAGGTACAAATATACAGAATAGGACTGGGGTAGAACTGAGTTTATAGTCATGGTTAGATCATCTAGCTTCAGTAATAAGAGTAATTTGGAGAAAACAGGGTTGTGTATATGTG